TAAGGGCGATTTTTGATTCGTTGCATCATTCATGTCTATTTCCTGCTAAAATTCATTATTTTTATCACGTATTTCCCCAAAAAAAAACTATACGACAATAAGCTATACACTCCATTACATTATCAAATTTCATACCTCACCTTCCTCCGGCCAACTGGCCGGGGCCACTCTAGTTCTTTCTAGAGATGGAGGCAGAGAGAAAGGGAGAGAGGAAGTGGAAAAGTCACCTAGTTTGATGAGAGAGACGAGAGATGGCATGTGATATGAGCAATAAAAATATGTCCTTTTTTTAATTAGAATTTGTATTTTAGATTGGTTTATCATTGATGATAAAAAAAAATTCAAATAATATGACAGTATATTTTCGGTATTATTAAGAAATGGTACACTAATTTTTTCGGCATGGTTTTTCGACAAAAAAGTATTTTACTATTTTAAAAACGGTTTTTTATCCGTACAAAACGGTTGAACCACGGTCGTACCACGAATTACCCTATCATCAATGAATCCGGTATGACGTCCGATACGGTTTCGTAAACCTTGGTTTTACTTGATGGAAAAATCACGTGTAGGTCAGGCCCATTCAACTCTTTTATTTTATGATTAGCGGTTAGCCCATTAGAATCCATGCATTAGTTTATTGTTAATTTTTTTTCTTTTTAGCAATAAAAAGGAGTATTATTTTTGCCTTTTCATATATATTTTACCACCACGGAGAAATAAAAGGACTTAAAGAAAAAAATTGACACTCCTTGACCCGTTTAAATCCGCATGTGTACGGTAAGTTGGCCCGTTCCACAGAGGAAAAAAAAATTGACACTCCCTATTGTGTAATTCCTACAAACGCCCGATAGCCGATCCCCAGACGCCTCCGATGATCCGTTACGCTATTTAATGATATTGATTGTAATTAAATCAGTGTCCCTCGGTCCCATTATTAGAGGGTTTAAGGCTGTAATCAAGCCTGATAAGCGTACCTGTCGGGGCGCAATTGGGGTAACCATTAACCCGAATCAAGGCTGTAATCAAGCCTGATTAAGCGTACCTGTCCGAACCGGCTCGTCCGGTGAGCATTAAAATGATCATTTAATGGCTGCACTCGTCCGTTTCGGACTGATTTGACGCTTGGTGTCGTTAATTCCCTATTTGGGTTTTATTACATCAATTATTTGATGTTATTGGGGTTTTAATGGCCTTTTGATTAAACGTTACAAGAATTTAGTGATTAACTAAAGCAATTTTTTTTTTTTTTTTTTTAAAAAAAAGTGGGCGGAAGCTTAGCAAGCTAACTTTGGCTCTTAACCAATTAATGGCCTCATTGGTCCATTTATTTGGGTTTTAATACATCAGTTATTTTCTTTGATGTTATTGGGTCCTTAATAATCCGTTACAAGTGATTAATGAGTCACTAAAGCGGTCCTTTTATGGCGCTTTACAACCTTTATGGTTGGTTTATATATCAAATTATGGGATAGAAAGAATTAACTTCTGACGGTCATAATTAATTTTTGACTTTTAGAATTAATTAAATTATGGTTTTCAAAGTACCAGAAGAGTAAACTGTCTAGTTCGCTGCCCGGTTTGCTGGAGAAGACCGGAAAGTCTTGAACATCTGTTCTTCAAATGCCCCTTGGCCACAAGATTGTGGTCGCTCATAGGTCTAAATGATTTCATCTCCTCGGCCCCGACTGTGAATTTCAGTCTCTGGTGGCGACATGTTATGCTTTCTGAGCACCCCCAAACCCACATTCTCCTATACGTTTGTGTATTATGGAGGATCTGGAAGTCTAGAAATAAGGTGGTCTTTGAGCATGTCCAGCCTCATGCCCGGTCTCTCGCTCGTCAGTGTTTTTTTCCAAGTTCGCGATCTGTCTTCCTCCCTTCCTGCTCCGCCCCAGCCTTCCCGTTCTCGCCTCTCGTCTTGGTCCCCTCCTCCTGTTGGCTTTGTGAAGATCCTCTATGATGCTGCTGTTCGTCCTTCTGGGTGCTCGTCTGGTCTTGTGGTGCGCAGTTCAGATGGGCATGTGGCTCTGGATTTAGGGTCTCTCCTTCCCGGTATTGCTGATCCCTATCTTGCGGAGCTCCTAGCAGCTAGGGCCGCCTTCGCCCTTGTAGTCTCCAAAGTGCTGCCTCGGGTCATCATAGAAGGAGATTCAGAGGTGGTGATTCGGCAGCTTCGTCAAGGTGCTCTCTCTGTCTCCTTTGGAGGTCCGGTGCTTCGGGATTGCTCCCTTCTCCTTTCTTCCGTCTCTATTTCTTTAGAGTTTAGGGCAGTTCCTCGGACTGCTAACAGTGCTGCCCATAGAGTGGCGCAGAAAGCACTGTTACTCTCCCCTTTAGAGTTTTGCGCCTTTGATTTTGTGGGTTGGCTTCTCTGATGTATTGGGTTGGGCAGGGTCGGGGTAGATTGTATAGGTTTTCTCTTGACATTTCTTGGAAAAAAAAAAAAAATGTTGGTAGGGATTTTCACTGTGGGTGGTATATTCCTCATTTGAAACCATCAACCAGGTCTATAATGCTGTGTTATTAAAACCGGGCCGGACCGGCCGGTCAGACCGGTAAAAACCGGACCCGAGCACAAGTCCGGCCCCGGAAGCAAGAAAACGGGCGGCTGGGGAAATATAGCTGGCGCCTACTTTTTGCAATTTTTTAATTGATTAATAATGAAAAGCAAACAAGGTAAGTGAAAATAAATGTGACCCAACATCGGCCCTTCCACTATTGTTAGCGTTTTGATTTTTTTTAATTCTTATTCTATACTTTTCTCTTTTTTTTTAGAATCGAGTACCGGTTTGTGAACGGTTTTTAATACCGGTTAATCAACGGTTATCCGATAAACCTTAAACCTCTCATTAATCCGGATCGATGTCCGGTTCGGTTTTGACAACACTGCTATAATGTGCTTGCTCAGTTGCGTTTGGACCTCTGGTTGGATTTGTGATCGCTTGCGACCTCTCTTTGCTCCTGACGCGCCTTGCCAAGCCGTATTGCTGTTACGCTCTCCCTCTCTCCTCTGGCGTTTCCAACAGAGAGGAGCATTTGGGTAGGAGGAATCCACCGACCACCACCACCAACAAAAACAAAATCCATTCCACCCCCATCAATCACAAACGGAGAGATCACCGTCATCGACTCGGAGAAGTTGTACAATTGTTTTGTTATATCTCTTCCTCGCTCTTAAGTTTTGTTTGATAAATTTCTAGGATGGAGATGCAGCTGTCAAGTTTACGTTCAGCGAGCGGCCTGGGGCTTGATCAACTACCACATGAACTAGACAAGTAAACGAACATAATGAAATTGTCAATTTGTCATCATTTCCCCCACAAGTGAACCAACATATACAATTAAGTTTCAAAAATAAGCCAACAGAAACCAACAGAAACCCCAAATCTGGGGTTCTTCAATTTCCAAAATCTGTCGTCAGATTGTAGTGGTTCGGGGAGGGAAATGGTGGCGGTGAACTGGTGAAGTATCAAAAACTTACATGAGTAGGCTTTACAGTAGAAGCCAACAGGGGCGCAGTTCGGGAAGGGAAATGGTGGCGGTGCAGGCCTGCAGGGCACTGTTCGCCGGGAAGGAAGGGCGGCGGCGGAGCTCTCGACGGGGGCTGGGTCGTACAGCGACTTTGCCGCGCGGGAGGAGGAGGACTGCGAGGCGGCTGCGACTCCTGCGAGGCGCGAGCAGAGGAGGCCGAGGAAATGGACGATGGTGGCGCCGAGGCGAGGTCCCGCAGCAATGAAAGGCGGCGGCGGCGACGTTTCCCGACGTAGCAACAGAGCGGCAGAGGAGAGAACGAGATGGGTGGGAACTGGGAAGGATTCGCGAAGGCGAAGCAGCCAGCAGCGGCGGCGGGGCGGGTCTGGTGGTCTGGAACTCTGGATTAGGTCCGTTAGGGTTAGTAAATTAGGACGCAGTGGGTGGGCGGCGTCGTTTTGGGGGGTAAAACGCGGAGGGGTTTCGTGTTTCGGTTAGCCGGTTAACCGACGGTTATTACCGTCGGTTAGTCGGTCAACCGGCACAGCAAGAAATGCATCCGACAACCGTCCGATAAGTTGAAATTTTGGTTACCGGTTAACCGGCTAACCGACGGTTAACCGGCAACCGATAACCGAATGGCCAGCCCTACCAGCGACAAATCAATGAACTGGGGGATGAGAAGTTTAGTGATTTGGACTCCTTATCTGGCAAGTTAAAAGAGACTGGTCAATCCCATTTCCGTAAAATCTACTGCTGTTCTTACCTTGTTCATTCAAGTCTTAAAAATGGCTTAGGATAGGGTGAGTAACCCTTTGTTACTCACCCGTGAGTAACCACATAGGGACCGTCGATCTTGGCGGGACGGATCTTGTGGCTGTGATTGATGCGGGGTTTTTTGTCCACGGTCAGGGGCATTTTTGTCCGATATTTTATATTTGAATTAAATGACTTTCCCTCTTTGTCCGTTGCAAATCTTTTCTGTGCGCGAGTTGGATTCGGATTTTGGAGAGAGAAACTACGAGCAGGGGGAGCAGCAGCTGAGAAATAAGGACGGCGATTCTCCATTGTTGATCGACGGCGATAGAAACTGCGAGCAGCAGCTTCGAATCGAGCTTTCTGATTCTCCATAATTGATCGACGTGTGCGCGAGTTGGATTCGGTTTTTGTAGAGAGAAATTGCGAGCAGCGGCTGCGAAACAGGGGACGGCGAATCTTTTCTGATTCTCCATAATTGATCGACGACGAGGTTAGATATTAGTTTTTTTGATTCTTTCTGTTTAGCTAATCGAGTTTTCTGTTGATCTCTGGTTTCGTTGGAGGTTTTTGATTGCTGCTAGTCGAGCTTGTTTATGTTTAGCTAATCGAGCTTGTTCATGTGTTATGTTCTTTGTGTTTTGGTGTTTTGGCAGTATTCTGGTGAGATGAGTAACGTAAATTGTGGCAATGTTGTTCCAATTGATAGATCTGGTTCTTCAACCAGCGTTGTAGGATCTGGTTCTTCATCTAGTGCTGTTGGAACTGCTTCTTCATCTATTGATCTTGGATTTGATCATTCAGCTAACTCTGGTGAATCAGGAGGTAAGATATGCAAATTTGTTTGTTTATTGAAGTTTGTATAGTATCGTAATTTGATTTTACTATGCCTTATCATGTGGTAATTGATTTTATAGTACATTATCATGTGGTAAAATGTGGTAATTAGGAAGTTAAATGTGATGTTTCTGTGTGATAATTGATTTTACCATGCCATACCATATGGTATAGTGTGGTAATTTGATTTTACCATGCCTTATCATGTGGTAATTGATTTTACAGTAGATTACCATGTGGTAAAATGTGGTAATTAGGAAGTTAAACTTGAGGATTCTGTGTGATAGTTGATTTTACCATGCCATACCATATGGTATAGTGTGGTAATTTGATTTTACCATGCCATACCATGTTGTATAGTGTGGTAGTTTGATTTTACCATGCCATACCATATGGTATAGGGTGGTAATTTGATTTTACCATGCCTTTATCATGTGGTAATTGATTTTACAGTACATTACCATGTGGTAAAATGTGGTAATTAGGAAGTTAAATGTGAGGGTTGTGTGTGATAATTGATTTTACCATGCCATACCATGTGGTATAGTGTTGTAGTTTGATTTTACCATGCCATACTATGGTGGTAACTCGTGTATCATGGCTGTAATTATTGGTATACATTGATATTTCATACTGTTGTGGTGTGGAATCCATTTAATATGTTGTTTCATAATGTTTGTAGGTTTCAATGGTATAGATCCTACTGTTCGTGATTCTTGGAAGGACTTAGAGTTCAATACACCAGATGATGCATATAATTTTTATGTTGATTATGGGAATCATGAAGGTTTTGGTGTGAGGATTTATAACCAATCAGCGTGTCCGAAACTCAATGGTGGTTCTTCAGCTGTATATTATATCAAGTATTGTTGCAATAAGGAAGGTTGGAAAAGAGGTAGCGAGAATAACCCTGATAATGCAGGTGTTGTTGATACGACAGTTCGTGTTCGTAATGTTCCAGAACTCAGGGGTGGATGTAATGGTGCTTATATACGACTGAGGTGGTTTAAAGAGTTTAAATGCTACAAGATCTATCGTTGGTATAATGTGCACAACCATGACATGATTCCTGAGTCTCTGCGTCACTATGTGAGATCCAGCAGACGAATGGCTCCTGTGTATAAGATGCTGGCAGAGGTGAATGATGCTGCTGGTATTGGTGTGACTTCTTCGTATAATGCAATTAGTAGGGCTGGTGGTGGTAGGAAGTTTGTTGGGTTCACAAAGAATGATTTGAAGAACCATCTGCGAACGGTTAGGACGTCATCAATGGAGTATGGTGATGCGACTGCATTGCTTGAATACTTTAGACGTCAAGCACAGCTGGATCCTGGGTTCTTTCATGAGGTGGAGGTTGATGTTGAAGAGAACATTGCTAGTATTTTTTGGGCAGATGGGAAGATGAGGATGGATTATCATTATTTTGGTGATTCAATTAGTTTTGATACTACTTACCGGACTAACAAAGAGTATCGGCCACTAGGTATGTTTTCTAGTTTGTTGTTTATTATTGTGTTTGTTAGTTTGTATGAGTATTATTATTATCATTCTGTATCATGTTTTTTTTTTTGTTCTTAAATGTATTTTACCATATGGTATGTGTTGGTAATAAGGTTATTTGAGGTGGTTTTTGTGCTTAGAAGTCTTTTACCATATGGTATGTGTTGGTAACAAGGTTATTTTGAGGTGGTTTTTGTTCTTAAAAGTATTTTACCATATGGTATGTGTTGGTAACAAAGTTATTTGAGGTGGTTTTTGTGCTTAAAAGTTTTTTACCATATGGTATGGGTTGGTAACAAGGTTTTTTGTGGTGTTTTTTGCGTTGTTAGAAGTGTGTACTATATGGTAGTCTGCTGGGGATTGTTTTTTTTTTTTGTTCTTAGAAGACTTTACCACATGGTATGAGTCTTTACCATATGGTATGGGTTGGTATTATTGTTATTCGTACCTTTTACCACATGGTATGTGTTGGTAGAATTGTTTTTACTCACATTTTGTTATGTTTATGTAGCTTTGTTTGTTGGTTTCAACAATCATCACCAACTGACTGTCTTTGCGGCTGCTCTTCTCTATGATGAAACAACAGCAACATTTGAATGGCTTTTCGATCAGTTTTTGAAATGCATGGGAGGTGTGAGACCGTTATCAATGTTTACTGACCAGGCTGCTGCAATTGCTGCTGGTATAAGGTCTGTTTTCCCAGATTGTTTTCATGGGTTGTGTACATGGCATATTGCTCAGAATGCAGTTGTTAATCTGGGAAGTTTGTGTGACTCTGACTTCCTTCGTGAGCTTAGTTATTTGATGTATAATGCTGATGATGAGGATGATTTTGAGTATAATTGGAAGAAGATGATTGAGAAGTGTTTTCCTGGGAAGGGACCTTTGGGACACAGTTGGTTACAGGGCATTTACAAAGTCAGGACGAAGTGGTCTTCAGCCTGGGTGAATTGTCATTTTGGTGCGGGAATGAAGAGTACCCAGCTAAGTGAGTGCTGCAATAGTAATATTCGACATTACTTGCAGTCAGAGTTTAGTGTTAGTAGGTTCTTTGTGCACTTTGAGAGGATGCTTGATAATAAGAGGGATGCTGAAGAACAAGAAGAGTACTATGCGTTATCTAGGTTGGCTGATTCTCGGTTTTCTACTAGCCCTATTGTGAAGCAAGTTGCTAATGTGTATACGCCGAAGATATTCAAGTTTTTCCTGGATCAGTACAAGGAATCCCTTGCGTATAATATTTTTTCCAATACGGAGATAGAACCAGAAGGACATGTAGGACTGTTTGATGTCTTCATATTGGAGGATGACCTTACAAGGTTGGATAGTAGGGTGTTGAAGGTTGATTTTGAAAACGGTGAAATCAAGTGTTCGTGCCGTAAGTGGGAGTCAAGTGGTATGATCTGTAAGCATCAAATTAAGGGATATGATATGTTGTGGTCTACAACGTGCAATCTGAAGTTCCAGCACATTCCTAGCAGTTTGATTTTGAAGCGGTGGACAAGGGCAGCGAAAACTGGAGGGAACTTTTCTTTTGAAGTTCCGTCTACTGATAGTCCATCGAAATACCGTTCTCGTCTTTTCAATCTGTCAGCTGTTTCTGCATCAATGATCAGCAGGGTTGCATTGGATGATGATTTGTATAAATCAGCCATGGCCTTCATGACTGATTTGATCAAAAAGTGTGAAGCCCTATCGATTACTGAACCTGCTGGAACAAGCACGTCTTCTAACGGTGACAGTAAGTTTTTTTTAATTGTTTAGAGTTTGTTTTTGTTTTTGTTATCTGTCATTGATTGTAGTTTGTTTTTGTTATCTTGGTATAGATGATGTACCGGTCCAAAAAGTGAAGGGGTTTAAGGCTAAAAAAGATTCATTCAAGCCTTCGAAACGACCAATTCCAGCTGCGGAGGCTGCAAGGGCTGTAAGCAAGAAGAAGAGAAAAACTAGCAGGCTTGAGGAGGAGAATTTGAAGGCTGTTGAAGAAAGTTTAAGGCTGAAGCTGTAATAGTTTTCTTAGAGGATTATCTGAATGAATGGTTGATGCTGGTTGAGTTGTTGAAGCTATTTTGTTCTTTTGGATGGGTTTTTGGTTTTGTTGGATTAATTTTACACTGTTATACCATGTGGTATAATGTGGTAATTTGATTTTATCATGTCAAACCAGGTGGTAAAATGTGCTAGTTTGGAAGTTGAATGTGAAGGTTCTGTTTTATAATTGATTTTACCATGCCATACCATATGGTATACTATGGTAATTTGATTTTACCATGTGGTAATGTGTGGTAATTGATTTTACCATGTGGTAAAATATGATTTTTTGGAAGTGGTATGTGTGGTAATTGATTTTACAGTGCATTACCATGTGGTAAAATGTGGTAACAAACTAAAACACAGCAGGACTTATGGTTTTTTTGCTATTTTACAACATGAAACCATAGTTTACCACACATTACCATATGGTAACAAACTAAAACACAGCATGACTTATGGTTTTTTGCTATTTTTGCAACATTTTACTACATGAAACCATAGTTTACCACACATTACCATATGGTAACAAACTAAAACACAGCAGGACTTATGGTTTTTTGCTTATTTACAACATGAAACCATAATTTACCATACATTACCATATGGTAACAAACTAAAAGACAGCTGGACATATGGTTTTTTGCTATTTTACAACATGAAACCATAATTTACCACACATTACCATATGGTAACGAAGCAAAACACAACATGTAATCATAATTTACCACACATTACCATATGGTAAAATGTGGTAATTTGGGAATTAAGAACACATGTTAAGTATTTGCTAACATAATAAAAAACAGAACATTTCTTTTAGTCATAATACAAACCATAATAAGTTGTTTCATACCATCCTACTAATTAAAATGAAGTGGCTACTGAACATTGTGAGTTTGTTCTCAAAAGCTTACTCATACCCTCCTACTACTTAACACAAACGATAATAGAATTTTCATTTCCTTCCTTTCAACTCTTTCTTCTTGTTCTTCATGTTGCAGTACTTTGTTGCTTCTTTCATGATCCTTTCCCGTTCAAGATTTTCTTCATCAAGAATGATGTCCAACATCAGGCACTCCCTTTCTTCATTTATGAGATCAATCCTCTTCCAATCTTTGGTCAGGGCACTGTTGTACTTACCTTCCCAGTGTCTCATCCACCTGATGACGTACATCCCACATGAAATTTGATCTGGTTGTGTAACCTTCTCGAGCTTGAACCAGCTAAACCTCTCCCACCTTACTGTCCTGTCTGCAAACTGTGTCTTCATGTAGTTGATTGCGTACTGGACAACCCTCTCTGCCATTGATTTGTATGTTTTTTCAAAATCTTTGTGACGGAGACTGTCGAGCACTTCAAATCTCTCTGCTTTGATGTTGACACAAATCATGATGTAGTGCTTGTTATTACAGTACGGGAAGAACCACTGCAAAATAATTTTACCACAGTATACCATATGGTAAGCAGTTGCCATATAAGTGATGTACAGTAAGTTAAGTTAAGAACAATTGGAAACTAATTTTACCACTATATACCATATGGTAACCACTGCAAAAATTGTGGTGAGATACTTACAAGGTTACATTATGTGAAGCTGAGGTTTTTGGCCCATTCTTTGTTGGTGATGTCCAAGTCCACTTTGTCGTAGTAATCGTCTGGAGATAGTACAGGATTGCCACTATCAATGTCCAGTTGGCAGTCACCCTGAAAGTTGTGGTTGTTATTATGTGTTTTATATATGTGTTGTCTAAGAACTTTTGACAGAATATGGGTGGGTTTACTTACTGCCAAAGATGTATCGAAGAACCACCTTGTGAATTTTCCTTTTTTTGCTTCATTCCTGTTCATTACATCTCCATACCAGCCGATGACATCAGATGTGATTTCACAGCCAATGTCAATCGACTGTACTGACTCCCTTTTCAGCATGAATGTTCCATCCTTCCTTTTAAACATGATCTCATCACTGTATACAAGCACATCACAACAGGACGGATGGTTTATTTTAATTCATCACATCAAACAATAGGTTACCACAACAAAACCATAGCTTACCACATCTTATCATATGGTAATAAGTAAAGCACACCAGCTTAGCACATCTTACCATATGGTAATAAGTAAAACACACCAGCTTACCACATTTTACCATATGGTAATAAGTAAAACACACCAGCTTACCACATCTTACCATATGGTAATAAGTGAAACACACCAGCTTACCACATTTTACCATATGGTAATAAGTAAAATAGAACAGGAGTTATGGTTTAATCCATTCTTTAACAACAAACATTAGCTTACCACATCATACCATATGGTATTAAACTAAAACAAAACAGGACTTGTGCATTACTACATTTTGTAACATTAAACCATAGATTTGTCTAATTTTACCATATCTTACCATATTTTACCATATGGTAACAAACTAGATCACTACAATAACATCATATAACAGTAGAAGTTTTAAGATGATGACTTACCTCTTGGCAAATTTCTTATTTTTGCATCTTATGTACTCCAGGATGTTGCTGAACATATCATCAGGTGTTGTTTGTGTTGGTGTTGACCATTCAACTGGTGATTTTTGTGACTGTGGAGCAACTGGGTCGGCAGCTGGAGAATTCAGGTCCTCTAGGTAAGCATCTATGCATTCACGGACT